CTGCCAGAAGAGTGATAATTTTTTCATCGTTTTTTGAATTAGGTTATTAAATTTGTTCAACATCGAATCGTCTGATTACCGGACTGAACCGGATACACCGGCAGTATGCTGCAAAAATCGCACAGACAAATCGCCGTTGCCCGATCCGGTCGTCTCCCCCGTCGCGCCCATACCGCCGAACCCGGAAAACGAAACCGACCAGAATCGGAACAAATCGGAATAAAAGCCGTTGCAAAACCCTTTTTTATTGGTATATTTGCTTTCGGCAAGGTAACACGACCGGGTTCCTGCCCCGCGATCCGAACCCCACTATTCGACGGCAAAAAGAGCCGTCCTAACCAAAGACACGACCGAAATGGACATTTTCGAACTGCGAGAGTTTTGTCTCTCGCTGCCTGCGACCGAAGAAACCACTCCGTTCGACGAAACGACGCTCGTCTACAAAGTAGCCGGTAAAATGTTTCTGCTGACCGATATGACCGACAGCCGGTGGATTAACGTCAAGTGCGATCCCGACCGGGCCGTGGAACTACGGGAGACTTACGAAGAAGTCTCGCCCGGATGGCACATGAACAAACGCCACTGGAACACCGTCCGCACGGACGGCGACCTGCCGGCCGGTCTGATCAGGAATGGATCCGCGACTCCTACCTGCTGGTCGTAAAAAGCTTGCCGAAAACAATACGCGACGAAATACGAAACGCTTACGTCGAAAATAACGAAAACCGATGAAAAAATTTTACCTGCCGATTTGCTTCGTCCTGTGCACGCTTGCCGCGCCGGTTGCGGCCCAGATCCATCTGGAGGGATACCGCCAGGCCGACATTGCGCCGCAATGGCTCGACGGACGCTGGACGGCTCAATGGATTTCCGTCCCCGGAGAACCTCAAAACGCTTACGGGATTTACCATTTCCGAAAAACGTTCGACCTTCCCGAGCAACCGGAACGGTTCGTCGTGCACGTCTCGGCCGACAACCGTTACAAGCTGTACGTCAACGGCGAGCTGGCTTCGGTCGGCCCGGCCCGCGGCGACGTATTCAACTGGAACTTCGAAACGGTCGATCTGGCCCGGTGGCTGAAACCCGGCAAAAATACGCTGGCAGCCGTCGTATGGAACTTCGCGGAAATGAAACCGGTCGCCCAGGTCAGCTTCAACCAGACCGGGTTGATCGTACAGGGCAACACGGCGGCCGAAGAGGCCGTCAATACGAACGACAGTTGGCTGTGCAGCCACAACGACTCCTACAAACCGCACCAGGCGCGCGTCTACGGTTATTATGCCGCAGGACCGGGCGAGCAGGTCGACGCGGCCGCCTACCCCTGGGGCTGGGAAACGCCCGGATTCGACGACTCGGCATGGAACAAAGCGCAGGCCGGCATGACCGGCGGAGCCAAAGGAGCGCGCGACTATCCGGGACGCCTGCTGGTGCCTACGCCGATCCCGCCGATGGAAAACCGTACCGAGCGTTTCGCCGAAGTGCGGCGGAGCGACGGCGTGCGTATTCCGGAAGGATTTCCCGGCCGGGCCGCGACGGTGACCGTTCCGGCCCATACGACCGCCGAAATCCTGCTCGACAACGACTCGCTGACGACCGCCTACCTATCGCTGTTGTTTAGCGGTGGAAAAGGCTCGCAGATCACCGTCGCTTATGCCGAAGCGCTCTACCGCGATACGCAGACCTTTTTCAAAGACGACCGCAACGAAGTAAAAAACAAACAGTTCCTCGGCTACGAAGATATCGTTCGTCCGGACGGCGGTAACGGCCGGCTCTATACGACACTGTGGTGGCGTACATGGCGGTATGTCAAACTGACCGTCACGACGCAGGACGAACCGCTGGAACTGCAAGACATCTACGGGACATTCACCGCCTATCCGTTCGAAAGGGCATCGTCGTTCGCGGCGCCGGGACACGAGAAACTGTCGCGGATGCTGGATATCGGCTGGCGCACCGCCCGGCTGTGCGCCAACGAAACCTACATGGACTGTCCCTATTACGAGCAACTGCAATATTTCGGCGACACGCGGATCCAAGCGATGATCTCGCTGTATAACACGCGCGATCCGTACATGGTACGCAATGCGCTGGAGCAGGGCCGGCAGTCGATCGTGGCCGACGGAATCACGATGAGCCGCTATCCGTCGGGATTGCATCAGTTCATTTCGTCTTTCTCGCTTTACTGGATCTGCACCGGATACGACTACTGGCGTTACCGCGGCGACGAAGAGTACCTGAAAACGCTGTTGCCCGCTTTCCGCGGCGTGCTGTCGTGGTACGAAGGATTCCTGCGCGAAGATCATTCGCTGGGCTATATCCCGCACTGGTTCTTCGCCGACTGGGCGTCGAACTTCGACGGCGGGGAACCGATCCGCGAAAAAGAGGGAAATTCGGCGTTCCAGGATCTGCTGTTCGTCATGGGGCTCGATGCAATGGCCGAAATGGAACAGGCTTTCGGCATCCCGATGTACGGGGAGCGGTTCCGTAAAATGGCCGATGCGATCCGAGGAACGATCCGTCCGAAATACTGGGACGAAAACAAAGGTCTGTTCGCCGACACGTACGACCGGCGCAACTACTCGCAACACGTCAACGTACTGGCCGTCCTGCTGGGCGCCGTAAGCGGGAACGAAGCGAAAGCCGTGATGGAGCGTACGCTGTCCGACACGACCCTGACGCAAGCCACGATCTATTTCCGGTACTATCTGAACCAGGCATTGCAAAAGGCCGGGCTCGGCGACCGGCTGCTCGACAACCTGAAAGTCTGGGACGACCAGATGGCGCTGGGACTGACTACGTGGGCCGAGCAACCCGAACCGTCGCGTTCGGACTGCCATGCCTGGGGAGCCAGCCCGAACATCGAATTTTTCCGGATCGTCCTCGGCATCGACAGCGACGGCCCCGGATTCTCGAAAGTCCGAATCGCACCGTCGCTCGGCAAACTGAAAGAAGCCTCCGGATCGATCCCGCATCCTCAGGGCGACGTCGCCGTCCGCTACCACGTCGGCAAACGCGGAGAACTGTTCGCCGAAATTTCGCTGCCCGATGCGGTCGAAGGCACTTTCGTCTGGAAGGGGGAAACCCGTCCGCTGCGGGGCGGCACGCAAACGATCAACATAAAATAAATCATAACATGAAAAAAGAGGTTTATTCGTAATCGCATCGCTCATCCTGATGCTTATTTCCGCCACTTTGCAGGCAGGCGGACTAAAAATTCTGTTCATCGGGGATTCCATTACCGACGGCAACTGGGGCAGCGGAGACGGCAAGCCCTCTTCCGAACGCACTCTATGGGATATGAACCATATATACGGACACGGATTCATGTACCTGTGCGCTTCCCATTACCTGGGAGAATATCCGCAATACGAATATGAATTTTTCAACCGGGGAATCAGCGGAAACTCGCTGTACGATTTGGAAAAACGTTGGCAGGAAGACGTATTGGACATAAACCCCGACGTGCTGTCGATACTCGTCGGCATCAACGACATCAACCGGTACCTGCACGGCGACAGAACCTCGCCGTTCGATTTCGACGCTTGGGACAAAAATATCGCGAACTGCTCGACCGGACGCGTCAGGAAAATCCGAATCTGAAAATCGTACTGGCCTCGCCGTTCGTCGCCCCCACGGGAAACATGAGCGAAAACAAAGATTTCGGGGAGTATGACAAAATCGTGGAGCGTTGCAGCGCGATCGTAGAAAAGATAGCACGAGATTACAAGGCCGTCTACCTGCCCTACCGACAGATGTTCAACGACCTCTTGCAGCGCGATCCCACATCGCAAAACACTTACTGGATCTGGGACGGCGTTCATCCGACGGCGGCGGGACACCAACGCATGGCCGATCTGTGGATCAGGCAGGTGGACAGGGAAAGAATCCTTCGCCCTTAACGATTCGGCTCATATAAGGGGTCCGGCTCCATCGAACCGGGAAAAAACCAGAAATAAAAACATTCGGATGGAGAATTTCTAAAAAACTCCTTCTCCCCGTCCGGTAAACAGCGATCCGTACAATCTTTGCGAACATGGCGTTAACCGCAATAGCCGTTCTGCTGCGTATTTTGTCGAACCCGTTGGCGAACGTTTTCCAGAAACAGCTCACCGAGCGCTCGGAGCCGCCGCTGAAGGTCAACTTCATCACATTCCTGCTGCTGAGCGCGGTCTGCATCGTTCCTGCCACCCGGATCGAGTGGGCGGCTTTGCCGAAGGAGTTCTGGGTCTGGTGCACGGTCGCCGGCATATTCGGCGCCACCGGAAACGGCTTTCTGGTAAAAGCGTTGCAAGGGGGCGACCTATCGGTGCTGGGACCGATCAATTCCTACAAATCGGTCGTCGGAATGATCGCCGGCATCCTGCTGCTGGGCGAAATTCCGGATTATGGGGCGTTGCAGGCATCGCGCTAATCGTCGGAGGCAGCTATTTCGTACTGGACACGCTGAACGAAAAGTTTTCTCCGGCCATCCTGCGCAGAAAAGACATCCGGTACCGGATATGGGCCATGGTGCTGACGGCCGTCGAAGCGGTATTCATCAAAAAGGTCATCCTGTACGCTTCGGCCACGACCGCTTTTATCACCTGGTGCTGGTTCGGAGCCTTGTTTTCACTGGCGCTGGCACTACTGGCCGGACGTTCGCAATCGCCGCTGCGGATCCGGCGCAAAGATTTTTCGCGCTACGTCTGGCTGGTGCTCTGCATCGGCACGATGCAGTACACGACCAATTACGTATTCGACCGCATGAACGTGGGATACGCCCTGGCGCTTTTCCAACTCTCGACAATCGTCAGTATCCTACTCGGCTACAAAATATTCCGGGAGCAGGCCATCGGGCGTAAATTGCTCGGAGCCGTAATTATGATCGTCGGATCGGTATTGATTATCTTTTCGAAATGATCCGCAGGCAAAAAACAGGGAGGCAATCCGCACCGGACGCCTCCCTTTGTCATTCGTACGTTTTCTGCCGCTCTACCAGGCGAACAACGGATATTTCGCCATCAACGTATTGACCTCTTTCCGTACGGCAACGATATTCGACTCGTTGTCGATATCCGACAACACCGGTCGATCAGTTCTACGATCGTTTCCATCTGGTCTTCTTTCAAACCGCGGGTCGTAATGGCCGGCGTCCCGACGCGGATACCCGAAGTCTGGAACGGCGAGCGGCTGTCGAACGGCACCATATTCTTGTTGGTCGTGATATCGGCTTTTACCAGCACCTTCTCGACCTGCTTTCCGGTCAGGTCGGGGAACTTGGTACGCAGATCAATCAGCATCAGGTGATTATCCGTACCGCCCGATACGATTTTGTAACCGCGCTTTACGAATGCGGCAGCCATCGCCTTCGCATTTTTCTGCACCTGCGCCTGATACTCCTTGTAAGAGGAATCGAGCGCTTCGCCGAAAGCGACCGCTTTGGCGGCGATCACATGTTCCAACGGGCCGCCCTGGATGCCGGGGAAAACAGCCGAGTTCAACATAGCGGACATCTTCTTGATCTCCCCTTTCGGAGTCTTGACTCCCCACGGATTCTCGAAGTCCTTACCCATCAGGATCACGCCGCCGCGCGGGCCGCGCAGGGTTTTGTGGGTGGTCGAAGTAACGATATGAGCGTATTTCACCGGATTGTCGAGCAGCCCGGCGGCAATCAGGCCCGCCGTATGCGCCATGTCGACCATCAGCAGCGCGCCCACTTTGTCGGCGATCTCGCGCATCCGCTTGTAATCCCACTCGCGGCTGTACGCCGACGCGCCGCCGATAATCATTTTCGGTTTGTGTTCGAGGGCGAGACGTTCCATCGCATCGTAATCGATCGTTCCGGTCTCTTCGCTCAGCTTGTAGCCGATCGCATTGTAAAGGATACCCGACGTGTTGACCGGCGAACCGTGCGACAAATGACCGCCGTGCGCCAGATCGAGCCCCATAAAAGTATCGCCCGGCTTGAGCACCGTCAGGAAAACGGCCATGTTCGCCTGCGCTCCCGAGTGCGGCTGCACGTTAGCGTATTCGGCGCCGTACAACTCGCACAGACGGTCGATGGCCAGTTGCTCCACCTGATCCACCACTTCGCAACCGCCGTAATAACGCGCCCCCGGATACCCTTCGGCATATTTGTTAGTCAACACGGAACCCATCGCCTGCATAACCTGCTCGCTTACAAAGTTCTCGGAAGCGATCAACTCGATACCGTGCAACTGCCGCTGCTTTTCGCTCTCGATCAATCCGAATAGTTTTTCATCCCTTACCATAAGATTTATCTTTAAAGTTTAATAGCCTTGAAGAACGCTCCAAAGGTAGTAAAAAAGAGCAATAAAACCCACCGAATCATCTCCGAACCAAAATAAATTATTACCTTTGTATGGCTTTCGACGGGGAAACGGGCATAGCTAAAAGGCTCTGCTTAAAGTTGCTCCCGGCAAAAAGCGAGAACCGTCCAGGCGGGATGCCGCCGAAAACGAACCATTTTGTTAGACACTAAAAACAGACGAATGAAATTACTTGAAGGAAAAGTCGCTATCGTGACCGGAGCCGCCGGGGAATCGGGAAGGCAATCGCCATGCGGTTTGCCGAAGAGGGCGCGTCGGTCGTCTTTACCGACCTGAAAGTGGACGAAAATTTCCAGAACACGGAAAAAGAGTTGCAGGCGCTCGGCGTCAAGGCCAAAGGATATGCCTCCAACGCCGCAGACTTCGAAGATACGGCCGGCGTGGTGGCTCAGATCGTGAAGGATTTCGGTCGCATCGACGTACTGGTCAATAACGCCGGGATCACCCGCGACGGCCTGATGATGCGCATGAGCGAACAGCAGTGGGATATGGTTATCAACGTGAACCTGAAATCCGCATTCAACTTCATCCATGCCGTAACGCCGGTGATGATGAAGCAGAAAAGCGGCAGCATCATCAACATGGCGTCGGTGGTGGGCGTTTCGGGCAATGCCGGACAGACCAACTACTCCGCTTCGAAAGCCGGCCTGATCGGTCTAGCCAAGTCGATCGCCAAAGAGCTGGGTCCCCGCGGCATCCGCGCCAACGCGATCGCGCCGGGTTTCATCATTACCGATATGACCAATGCGCTGTCGGACGAAGTAAAGGCCGAATGGGCCAAACAGATTCCGTTGCGTCGCGGCGGTACGCCCGAAGACGTGGCCAAGGTAGCCCGTTCCTCGCATCCGACCTGTCGTCGTACGTCAGCGGACAGGTAATCCACGTTTGCGGAGCGATGAATACCTGATCCGTCGAAATATCGTAAGTCATGCAAACCCGGTACCGGACAGCGGTTACCGGGTTTATTTTACCGGGACGGCCCGATTATGCCGCAAAAAACCGGGGCGTCCCATTCGAACGCCCCGGCCTGTTTCTTGGGTTCCTCGACCCCTTATTCGGCGTCGGGCACTTTTCCGAACCGGTTGTCCGACGGCGTGCCGGGCTGGCAGTAAAGAACGATCAACCAGATGCTCCCACCAGCAGAATCAAACTGATCAAAATCCAGTACCACTCCTTGTCGATATCCTGCAACCGCCTTACGGAGATAGCCAGGGACGGAATCAACAACGCCAAACTGTACAAACCGCTCAGGATCGCGTTCAGTCCGACGATACCGCCGATAATCCCGACGATCACGGCGGCGATCACATTGTACAAAACGAACATCCAGAACTGCCTGCGCGACGCCCTGCCCTTAAAATCAGCATACTGCAATTTCAGCACATCCAGAAAATACTTTTTCATAAACTTGTCATTTTATCGGGTAATACATGAATAACGAGGCAAAAGTAACACATTGCGGTATCGGAAGCAATCTTTAATCGATTAATTTTTGTCGTTTCGGGGGGCGAAAAACAATCTTAAAGCGAAAAACGAAAACGGTTCATAACCTACATACGGATAAACAACTGGATATCGCCGTTTTACACATGCCCGATCCGAAAAACGGAAAAGATTTCCAACAGCTTCCTCCGGTATCTCCCGGATTTATGAACAGAGTCGAACAACTTATAAACAGGTTATACACTTTTTACAAACCGTATATCAGATAGCCTGCCGCGCCGGACAGCACGATCATCGCAAGTACCATCGGCCGCATTCCGAACATCGCGCTTTTGATATACAGATTGCTACAGGACGAGACAAAACAGACGATCTGGCAGGCAATCAAGATCTGAAAGCAATGGACATTTGATCCACAACCACAAATTTCTCATAAAAAAACAAAAACAAGTTAAAGCACATGTATTTATATCTATTTTTGTATAAATTCTTAATTCAAAATTCTCAAAAGTCATGAGAATACGGGTTTGCATTGGAATATTATTTAGCTTCATCGGATGGCAAAGTTGTACGCCGGGACAAAATATCAAAATAAACAGCGACCGTTCAATCGTTATCTCCCGAGGGCAATGCAATATAGTCGAAGAAGTACACAGCGCCGCATTGATCGACCAGATCAAATATGTACCTTTGGAAACACATGAAAAATGCTTGCTGAAAGACATCCAAAAAATCAAATATCAGGATAGCACATTATTTATTTACGACGGACGGGCCATATACGCCTTCAGCAACGAAGGAAGATTCATAGCCCAAATCGGGGAACGAGGAAGATCCGGAAACGAATACAATACAATATCTGCGTTTTTTCTGAATCGGTACCGCAAAAGCATCATATTGATCGACGGATATACGCGTAAAGCGTTGGAGTACGATTATTCCGGAAATTTTAAAAGCAAAACACCAATCGATCCTATCTATAATTACATGGCCGATATCGAGATGGCTGACAGCACTTCCCTGCTATGCAACTTTTTTATAACCAATCCCTCGCTCGAAGACAATACGGCATTTCAATACGGCTTGGCCGATGCAGTCGGTTATCAGGTCAAGAATCTTTTTCTGCAAAGCAATCTGTCTATGAATACCGGACTGTTGACATTCTCCAACCATCCGATCACCCGCTGTAGTCACAACTTATCATTCATTCAATCTGTTTCGAACAAGATATACCAGATCGAAGGGGAACAAATAACAGAAATGTATTCGATAGAAATGATAGATCCGTTGCCGGACGAGCGTTTTTTGCAACAAAACAATCATAAAAACTACTTCGAATTGTTGCAGACCTTATTCGATAGCGGATACAGTTCGGGAGTTACCACCTGTTCGAAACGCCGCAATACTTGTTAGTTACTTTCGGCAAAACAAAAGATTCTCCTTCGATTCAGGATTACACACTGATCTGGGACAAACAAAAAAAGCGGGGAACTTACTATTACCGGTATTTCGATGACAACCTATTGACGCTATCAACGTGCCTCAACCTGAATAGTCCGTCTACATGCTATTCGGAAAATACCTTTATCACGGCGATCTCCCCTTTGACATTCGGAACAAACATGCATGTTATTCTGGAAAAGAGCAACGATACGACCGTACGAAGAATAGCTCAAACAATAAAAGAAGACGACAATCCCGTCATCTCTTTTTTCACGTTAAAAAAGAGATCGTTGACAATACGGATTAAAAAGTTCCGCTTTATCAAATAATTTTGCACCAAATTATCTTTTATTCCTGCATCGAAATTTTGCGAAGAAGTTGCATTCGATCGAATGCAACTTCTTCGTTTTTTCTATCCCGGACAAATATAAAACAAGTAACATTTATGGAAGACTCAAGGCATCGGAATCGGAGCCAAATAACGAATCAACGCATTACCAACCAACGACGCTATCCGTATATCAGATAGCCTGCCACGCCGGACAGCACGATCAGCCAGATCGGATCGACCTTTCGCAGCGTAGCCACGAACACTACGCCGAAGATCGCCCAGCTCGCCGCGTCCATGAACGTATCGGGCGTGAAAAGCACCGCGCCGGCCAGTCCGATCATCGCAAGGATCATCGGCCGCATTCCGAACATCGCGCTTTTGATATACAGGTTGTCCTGCAAAGCGAGGTAAAACCGCGTGATCACGATCATCAGCGTTATGGACGGCAGGCAGACCGCGAACGTAGCGAGGATCGCGCCCCAGATATTCCCCGTCACGACATAGCCGATGTAGGTCGCGCTGTTGATCGAGATCGGCCCCGGCGTCATCTGCGAAATGGCGATGATATCGGTCAGTTCGCTGTTCGAAATCCACTGGTGGCTGATCACCACCTCGTGCTGGATCAACGACAACATCGCATAACCGCCGCCGAAACCGAAAAAGCCGATCTTCAGATAGGATAAAAACAGTTGCAGGTAAATCATAATCCTTTCCCTTTCTTTTTGCGATAAACCCCGTACCCGATCCCGGCCAGGGCTCCCACCAGAATCAGGTAGACGGGAGAGAATCCCGCATACCATGTTACGCCGAGCGCCAGTGCGCCAAGACCCAGCCGCACCGGCCCGATCCCCCGGGACAGATTGAATACGGGGGCCAGCACCAGGGCGACGACCGCCGGCCGCATCCCTTTGAAACGGCTTCGACCACCGGATCGTGCCGGAACTCCGCAAAAAACAATGCGATGACCAGAATAATGACGAACGAAGGAACCACTACGCCCAACACCGACCACACTCCCCCGCGGTACCCATCGACCTTATAACCGACGAAAACGGCGGTATTGAGCGCCAACGCTCCCGGCGAGGTTGGGCCAATGTCAGCAGGTCGAGAAATTCCGTCCGTTCGACCATCTCCGGCGGTCGACGACCTCCTTCTCGATCAGGGCCACCATCGCATATCCTCCGCCGAACGTAAAAATCCCTATCTTCAGGAAAGACCAGAACAAATCGAACGACTTACGCATCGTAAAAACGGTATTCATCAAATTTCAAATCATTTTTCATTCAGGAAAGCGACCGAATGCGTCGCTACGACGGCGGCCGTCTCGGTACGCAGCCGGCTGTTCCCCAGCGAAACCGGAACGAAACCGTTGCGGTACGCCAGGGCAATCTCCTCTTTCGAAAAGTCGCCTTCCGGGCCGATCAGCACCAGCACGTTCTCTCCGCGGCGAACGCAATCCCTCAGCAGGATCTTCCCCGCGTCGGCCTCGCAATGGGCGATTAGCTTTTTCCCGTCGAACGGTTGTCCGATCAACTCGCGAAACGGGGTCAGCTCGTCCACCTGCGGATGCCAGGCTTTCAACGACTGCTTGACGGCGCCGGTCACGACCCGTATCAACCGGTCGGTCTTGACCGTCCGCCGTTCGCAGTGATCGGTCAGCAACGGCGTGATCCGGTCGATACCGATTTCGGTAGCCTTCTCGGCGAACCATTCCAACCGGTCCATGTTTTGGTCGGCGCCACGGCTACTTGCAGAAAATAACCGCGCTTTTCGAAATTTCGGTACGCTCGCCGAGAGACAACTCGCAGCCGTGCGGCGAAACGGAAACGATCTCGGCCCGGCAAAGCGTTCCCCGGCCATCGGTAATATGCACGAAGTCGCCGCTGCGCAAACGCAGCACCCGGGCGCAATGACGCGACTCTTCCCCGGAAAGCAGGTAGCGGCCGGTACTGAAATCGACGTCCGGAGCGTAAAATAATTGCATCGGCAGAGGCGTTATATACTGGATTATGGTTACTTTTGCATGTCCTGACAAAGGTACGAAACAACCGAGGAACAAACAACGTCATCCGAAGATCCATGAGATTTTTTTTAATTGCCGCATTCATGACCGCCGTTCTGTCAGCCGGCTCGGGCTGTGAAAAGAAACAGGCCGACGCCAATCCGTTTTTCACCGTGTGGGATACGCCGTTCGGAGTTCCTCCGTTCGACAAAATCAAAAACGGGCACTATAAGCCCGCTATCGAGAAGGGTATCGCCGACCACGCCGCCGAAATCGATTCGATCGTCGCCAACCCGGATGCGCCGAGTTTCGAAAACGTGATCGCCGCGCTCGACCGTAGCGGCGAACTGCTGAAAAAGGCGTATGCCGCGTTCGCGCAGGTCAAAGCGGCCGACAGCAACGACGAACTGCAGGCGGCCGACCTCGCGATCGCGCCGGCCGTATCGGCCCATTACGACGACATCTACCTGAACGATAAGTTATTCGATAAAATCAGCGCCGTGCACGAACAGATCGGCGGCAGCGCGTTGTCGGCCGAACAGGTCCGCCTGACCGAACAGACCTATAAACAGTTCGTCAGGGCCGGAGCGCAGCTCAATGCGCGGCAGAAGGAGCGGCTGCGCGACATCAACCGGGAACTGTCGTTGCTGAGCGTCCGATTCGGCAACAACCTGCTGGCCGAGACGCGGGATTTTACCCTCGTCGTCGAAGTTCGAAAGACATCAGCGGGGTTCCCCAGACCGTCACCGACGCGGCGGCAGACAAGGCCAAAGAGATGGGAATGACCGACAAATGGGTTTTCACGCTCAGTCCGCCCAGCATGATCCCGTTCCTAACCTATGCCGAAAACCGGGGACTGCGCGAAAAGCTGTACACCGGCTACGTAAAGCGCGGCAGCAACGGCAACCAGTTCGACAACCGCAGATCGTCAACGACATCATCCGGCTCCGCACCGAGAAAGCCCGCCTGATGGACTACCCTTCCTACGCCGCCTTCGTGCTGGACGACCGGATGGCGAAAACTCCCGAACGGGTGTACGACCTGCTCGACAAACTCTGGAAACCCGCCCTCGATACGGCGAAACGGGAGTTGGAGACCCTGCGCGCGATCAAGGCGAAGGAGACACAGGACAGCGCGTTCGCCGCATGGGACTGGCGGTATTATGCCGAAAAGTCCGCAAATCGCAATATAACCTCGACCAGACGTCGCTCAACCTCTACTTCTCGCTGGACAATGTCCGATCGGGCGTTTTTCAGCTTAGCAACCGGCTGTGGGGGCTGACCTTCCGCCCGGTTTCGGTTCCGGTATATAACAAGGAGTGTTCCGCCTACGAAGTGCTCGACAAAGACAATACCCATCTGGGAGTCCTCTATTTCGACCTCTATCCGCGCGACGGCAAGCGGGGAGGCGCCTGGTGCGGCACGTTTCGCGAAGCATCCTACGGTACGGACGGCAAGCGCATCGCCCCGATCGTCACGATCGTCTGCAACTTCACCCGTCCGAACGGAAGCGATCCGGCCCAACTGACGCTCGACGAAACCGAAACGCTGTTTCACGAGTTCGGACACGCCTTGCACAAACTATTTTCGCAGGTACGCTACGCCGGACTGAACCGGGTAGAGCGCGACTTCGTGGAACTGCCCTCGCAGATCATGGAAAACTGGGCGACCGAACCCGAAATGTTGCGGCTCTACGCCAAGCACCTCGTGTCCGGGGAGCCGATGCCCGAAAGCCTGATCCGGAAAATCCGCAAAAGCAGGCAGTTCAACCAGGGATTCGCCACCACGGAACTGGTAGCCGCGGCGCTGTCCGACATAGACATCCATACGATCGAAGACTACAAACCGTTCGATCCGGAAGCTTTTGAAAAAGAGGCGCTGAACGACAAGCGCGGACTGATCGGACAGATCGAACCGCGTTACCGCTACCCCTATTTCAACCATATTTTCAACAGCGGCTACGCGGCGGGATATTACGGTTATTTATGGGCCGAGGTACTCGACCGGGACGCCTTCGAAGCATTCGTCGAAAGCGGAGACATTTTCGATAAAGCGACCGCCCTCTCTTTCCGGAAAAACATTCTCGAACGCGGCGGCACGCAGGACGGAGCCGAACTCTACCGCAATTTCCGCGGCAAGGACCCGGACATTACGCCGATGATGGTCAAACGGGGACTGATCAAACCGGTCGAACCCGCGGCGGACAGCGTCGCGGCGGCAACGCCGGTCGTACCGCAGGCGCAATGACCCGGAGTACCCCGCTATTTCCAGCCCTGCGCCTGCAACGCAATTTCCTGCCCGTCAGGTGTGACCAACGCGGCTCCGGTTCCCGCTTCGGTCATATGACCGATCACGTCCACCCCGAGCGCGAAGACTTCCTGCCGCGGGCGAGCGGCACGGTAAATAACAACTCGTAATCGTCGCCGCCGTTCAAACGCGGCAACCACCGGATCGCTGTGCAGTTCGTCCGCCATCGCATAGGTCTGCTTGGCGATCGGCAGCCGGTTCAGGTAGATCCGCGCTCCCTTGTCCGACGCTTTGCACAGGTGCAGCAGTTCGGACGACAGCCCGTCCGAAATATCGATCATCGACGTAGGCACGATTCCGCTTTGGGCGAGTTTTTCGACGACATCCACCCGCGCATCGGGTTTCAACTGCCTGCGCAGGATATATTCGTACCCTTCGAACTTCGGCTCCGGATTCGGATGCCCGTCGCAGGCCCGTTTCTCGCGTTCCAGCAGATGAAGCCCCATATAAGCGGCTCCCAAGTCGCCCGTCAGGCAGATCAGGTCGTTCGCTCCGGCTCCGCTACGGTACGCGATCTTGTCCTTGTCCACGTCGCCGGTCGCGGTCACGCTGATCGTAAGGCCGTTAACCGAGGCCGACGTATCTCCTCCGACCAGGTCGGTCTTGAAATCGGAACAGGCGGCCCGCACCCCTTCGTAGAACCGGTCGATCATCTCGACCGAGAAACGCGACGATATCCCGAGCGATACCAGTACTTGCCGCGGCGTCCCGTTCATCGCCAGAATATCCGACACGGCCACCACGACCGCTTTATACCCAGATGCTGCAACGGGAAATAGGTCAGGTCGAAATGTACACCTTCCAACATCAGGTCGGTCGAAACCAATCCGTAACGATCTCCCGCATCGAGTACGGCGGCGTCGTCTCCGCATCCCTTTACCGTGGTTTTCTGCTGCGGCTCGAAAGGGGCGCAGATCCGGTCGATCAGGCCGAATTCGCCCAGTTCGGCGATCTCCGTTCGCTTCGTATCATCCATTTTTATTGCGTTTTAGTAAACACAAAGGTACTTTATCTTTTGTTCCGGCAAAAAAATACACTACTTTTGTTAACATTTAAAAGAGTGAATCATTAAATTTTAACACGATGTTGAACATTGTATTGTTCGGCCCGCCGGGGGCCGGAAAGGGAACGCAGGCAGCCAACTGATCGAAAAATACGGTTTTCACCACATCTCGACCGGAGAAGTCATCCGGGAAGAGATCCGGCAGGAATCGCCGCTGGGCCGAAGTATGAAAAGTTACATCGACAAGGGGCATCTGGCTCCGGACGAATTGGTTATCGACATCATAACCGAGTATGTCTGCAAGCACAAAGACTGCAAGGGAAACGTTTTCGACGGATTCCCGAGAACCACGCCGCAAGCCGAAGCGTTCGACAAAATCATGGAAATGCACGGCGCGCCGATCAACCTGATACTGTCGCTGGAAGTTCCCGACGAAGAACTGATCAAACGGATCCTGCTCCGCAGCAAGGACAGCGCCGGGCCGACGATCGCTGCGAATCGGTCATCCGGAACCGGATCGACGTTTACAAAGCTCAAACGGCCATCGTAGCCGAACACTATAAAAAAACAGGGGAAATACCGCGCCGTTAACGGCACCGGAGATATCGACGGATATTCAGAAACCTATGCGCCGAGATCGACCCGCTCCTGAAATAGAAAACGGAACGGATCTATAAAACGAACGGGCTACCGCAGCGGTAGCCCGTTCGTTTTATAGATGCGCAATCGGTCACGATCCGGCGTGCCCGGCGGAATCGAGCACTTCGATCGACCGGGCAATCACGTTGTCGATTCCCTGGATTTCGTGATAGAACGCATTGTCCTCCAACTCCGTATTCCGGCCGATGTAAGCCTTGAGCTGCGCCAGCAGGATCGCTTTCGAACGCTCGATCTCGGCGGGCTTTGGCGCCACGCCCGCTTTTGCCGCGTAACTTACGAACTCGTTCAACAGATTCGGCTGCCGGTCGAAAAACCGGTCGAGTTCTTCCAGCGAACGGATCTTGTTCAACTGCCCGCGGTAACGGTCGGAAATTCCAGCGTAAACTTGTACAAGATGCTGCGCCCGGCGACCTCGCGGAAATAGGGCGTCATATCCGTCGTATCGACCGGAACGAAAATATCCGGCATGATCCCGCCTCCGCCGTACACCACGCGTCCCGACTCGGTCGTATATTTCAGGCTGTCGGCAAAATGGATGCTGTCGGCCGAAAACATTTCGTCGTGCTGGTAACGCGACAACAATTCGTTGTAGTAATCTTCGCGTCCGTTGCTGTACGGTTTCTGGATCGAACGTCCGGTCGGCGTATAGTAACGGGCGACGGTAAGCCGTACCGCCGAACCGTCCGGAAACGGAATCTGATTCTGCACCAGCCCCTTACCGAACGATCTGCGACCGATGATCGTTCCCCGGTCGTTATCCTGGAGCGCGCCGGCCAGAATCTCGCTCGCCGAAGCGCTGTTCTCGTCGATCAGAACGACCAGTTCCTCGTCCATAAACTTGCCGTTCCCTTCGCTGTATTCGATCTCCGGTTCCCGTCACGATCCTGCGTATAAACGATCATTTTGCCTTTCGGAAGAAACTCCCGCGATATCAAAATCGCCTGGTCGAGCAATCCCCCCGGATTGCCGCGCACGTCGAGGATCAGTTTTTTCATACCCTGCTCCTTCAACCGAGCGATCGCTTCGGCCAGTTCTTTATGAGCATTCATCGAGAACTGTTCGAACTTGATATACCCCGTTTCGGGACGGATCATGTAGCGGCGACGATGCTTTTGATAGGAATGGCGTCGCGGGTCACGACGAACGGAACCAGATCCTTTACGCCCGCCCGCTGGATACCGAGCGTCACCTGGCTGCCGCGCGGCCCGCGCAACCGTTTCACGACGCTGTCCTGCGGCATCTTAATGCCGGCCACCACGGTATCGTTCACCGTCACGATGCGGTCCCCGGCCTGTATTCCGGCCTTGGCGCTCGGCCCCGAGTTGACCACGTTCAGCACGATCACCGTATCGGTCGCCATATTGAAAACGACCCCGATCCCGTCGAATTCCCCTTCGATGCTCTCCTTCGCCCGCGACAGATCTTGAGCCGACAGGTACGTGAATGGGATCCAGCTCATCGAGGATCAGCGGAATGACCCGTTCGGTCAGCGAATCGATCGAAACCGAGTCCACGTACTGCGTCCCGATCAGCGACAGCAGCCGATTGATCTTGTCGCTGCCCGGAGCCGTCAGGGCGGGCCGCCGGACGACCGGACGACTCGTGCGAAAAACCAGGCCGCCCAAAAGAACCCCGCCACCAGCGAACAGGCTACGACCGCCGGCAGAATAATGGTGAATTTACTGTTTTTATACATACTTCAAATCTCTTTTGCATCGTGCCACCTATGCAGAAACCGTTCCGTCATCACTTGTTCTTGAACGTATACGCAACACCCAACCCGAACGTATAGTTCCATTGCAACGGCTTATTGCGAGGAGTCGGTTGCACTTCGTTGTAGATCATCCGACAGAACGCGCTCGCGTTGAGATTTGGGTAATTTTGATATTCAACGTGTTCTGCCACTCCACGTAATTATTTTTCTCGTAGTTGGTGGAAACGTAAAAATAGGTGATATAATTCAGCTTGCTTTTGGCGATCGGCTGGTTCAGGTCGATCCGCATCGTCGAGCCCAGGGCGCTCTTCTGGTGCTTGCCCGGCTCGACTCCGGCAACCCCCTGTTTGGACAGCGTGTCGCTCAGCACGAACGTCATGCTACCGCTCAACGGGTTGACCGTAATCACGATCGGAACTTTGCACGCCGTATTGTCCTTTTTCAGCGCCCGGAACGTAAAACCGACGCCGAGCGCCAGCGTACCCGGCGACATGATGTTGCTGACCATCGTTTTATCGTCCGCCGATCGGAACCCTTGGTCCACTGGCTGCGCAGGTCGACGCTGGCGCTATAGGCCCAGCAACGCGATATGTTCCACGCGCTGTTTACGTTGAGAATGAAATAGTCGATATTTTTAAAGGTTTTGCCCGAGATAACGTTCATCCCGTATTTCGAATCCAACTGGGTCGCCAGGCGCAGCCGGTCACGCTGATAAACATGATTAAAAAGAACGAGGCCACCCGGAAAAAGTATTGACGCCGCCCGGTGCCCAGTTGTCGATTTAGTCTGGTTCAGGTTCAGTCCCACCGTGCAGGTAAGCGTATTGCGCTCCTTGCGCAACCGTCTTTTCTCAGCGCGGAACCGGGCCTCGCTGAAAAACTCGTTGCTGACGGCGGAGATGGGTTTCACGGAGTCCTTTTTGAGCCGCGTATCGGCTTCGCTGGGGACTTTCGAAATGGAAAATTGCGCCAAACCCTGGTTCGAAAACCATTATGAATCCTGCAAGTATCAGAAGAAATTCAGCCGTTTCATATTTCCGGATTGGATTGGGCAAAGATAACAATATTTGGCCAGTGTTTTGCCGTTCATCGTTTTTTTCTGCAAAAAAGTCGTAGCTTTGTTCGACGCCGGTCTCCCGGCGACGTCGCCGCCTGCGAATCCCGACGGCAGGCGACGTGAAAAACGGCGAAAACACGACCCGGATTGCCGGCAGCGTCAACGAACTAATTAAACGTTTGTCATGAAATACTTCGGAGCACACGTCAGCGCATCGGGGGGCGTAGAAAACGCCCCGCTGAACGCGCATACCATCGGGGCGACCGCTTTCGCCCTTTTCACCAAGAACCAGCGCCAGTGGACGGCCGCGCCGCTCA